TTATTACTAAATCATTTAATCCCTACAATAATGCTATGAAATAGGTACCGTATTCATTGATAAATGGAGACTTGAAATTTTTCAAAAATTCTTCACCATAGGCTTTAGAGTCAGACAGACCTGAATATAAATCTACCTGTGTGTTCCTGATTGAGTTTTAGTCTGCCTGCACCATAATTTCCTCAAAATTGGAATAATACACTCACACGGTTTTTTTTTTTTTTTTTTTTTTTTTTTTTGAGACAGAGTCTCGCTTTGTTGCCCAGGCTAGAGTGAGTGCCGTGGCGTCAGCCTAGCTCACAGCAACCTCAAACTCCTGGGCTCGAGTGATCCTTCTGCCTCAGCCTCCCGGGTAGCTGGGACTACAGGCATGCGCCACCATGCCCGGCTAATTTTTTATATATATATCAGTTGGCCAATTAATTTCTTTCTATTTATAGTAGAGACGGGGTCTCGCTCTTGCTCAGGCTGGTTTCGAACTCCTGACCTTGAGCAATCCGCCCGCCTCGGCCTCCCAAGAGCTAGGATTACAGGCGTGAGCCACAGCGCCCGGCCAACTCACACGGTTTTTTTTAAGAATTAAGTAAAATAATGCATACAAAAATGGTAAGCAAATGGTAAGCATTCAGCTATTGTTACTGTAACTTTTTGAAATGTAATTGGAAGTGTCTTTGAAGGTTTTTGAGCATGGTAAAATAATGTTTTGGGGAAGACGAGGGTGATGACATTGTATAAGAGAGGTGAAAAGGGAACTAGATTAGTGGCAGAAACCCAAAAATACCGCAGACTCCTAAAATAATCAAGGTCTAATACAAAAGAAGTCTGAACAAGAGTGATGGCAATGAAATTAAAAGGGAAAGATGACCAGATGTAAAACATTATGAAAGAATCTACATGGTTTGGTGACTTCTTGGACATAGACATAGAGGGCAAGAGATAGAAAAGAGCCAAAGATGACTAAAAAGGATGCCACTGATCAAAATCAGAAAGTTCTGGGAGGCCAAGGTGGGCAGATTGCTTGAGGTCAGGAGTTTGAAACCAGCCTGAGCAAGAGCAAGACCCCATCTCTACTATAAATAGAAAGAAATTAATTGGCCAACTAATATATATATAGAAAAAATTAGCCAGGCATGGTGGCGCATGCCTGTAGTCCCAGCTACTCGGGAGGCTGAGGCAGAAGGATTGCTTGAGCCAGGAGTGTGAGGTTGCTACGAGCTAGGCTGATGCCACGGCACTCACTCTAGCCTGGGTAACAAAGCGAGACTCTGCTCAAAAATAAATAAATAAATAAATAAAATAAAGATTTAAGTTGGATATTGACTGGGACCTACTCTTCCTTTCCTTCTGGAATGTCCTTCACCATCTAACAAACACTGGTTATTATCACTATTATTATGTTTGTTGAATTGCATGGAGAAAGAAATAAACAGGGTAGGAGCTAAAATTTGCCTAAGACAGAGAGCTCAAGAGCACTTAGAAGTGCTGGGGGCAGGGCTGGGTGTGGACTGGGACAGCAACTCTGGGCACTCACCATTCCAAGGTGGAGGCTTCCAGTGGGCTGTTTCCTTGGTTGGGTACATGACAGCTCCCCCAAACTGCTCCGCATATTCCACATCTGGCTGCCATTGTCGAGCACCTCTGGGGAGTTAAAGACAGACCCTAGACCAAGGGCCTGAACAGTAGTGCCTGGTTCCTCTGTTCCCATTCACTCTCACATGGGACCAGGTAAAAGTGTCCTAGATTCTTCAATGCCAAGCCACTGGCACACAGTATAGCTCTGGCAAAATAAGCTGGAACTCTAGAGATTCCATTCCTACTAACAACTTACTTCTGGAATCACTTCACCCATCACCATTGTGCATGCAAGGTTGGAGATCCTAGCTCCTTCGTATTTTCATCATATTCATATTCCCATCCAGGTAAATATGAACACGAGAAAAGTTTTTATCCAAGGTCAATCTAAGACTAAGGAGAGAGAGAGAGAGGAGAGAGATGATATTCTAGTTCCTTGCCTGAGCTCTACTCAGGTACGACATGAGAGGTGCACTCAAATCACTAAAGTTGAGAGGCAGGGTCTCCCACTTCGCTGATATCACCTCTGGCAGAATGAGCTCAAAACCCTCTTTCGTCCTTCGGCCAGAGTGGGCGCCACTGCATCCTGGAGCCGGATAAATCAGGCCTGGGCGAGAGGGTCACAGGCCTGGGTCATTCTTTCCTGGTGAGGGGGTTCACGGGGCCTATGGAGTGTCCCCAGGCTTGAGAAACCCTAGCCTTGAGGAAAGTGCGTCGAGGGCTGCCCTCAGTCTCACCTGCTGGGCTGAATCGGCAGTCGGACCCCAGCCCCGGGCCGCAGCACCTGGGCCGCTGCGCCCCGGAGGCTGCACAGAGCCCTCAGCGCCGCCATCTTACCCGCTGCAGACTGCAGGAAGGAGAACCGGGCGGAAGTGACTCCTGCGCGCCTCCGTGTGGGCTTCTCACCTATCGACACAACGAAACCGCCCTCTTGGAAGCTGGCGAGGTTGTCAAACGTGAGCCTGATAACATCCGGGTTCCCTGCCTTGCCTTCACTTGCGCTTAGATAACGGTGACTGCCGTCATCTTTACTGAGGGCGGCTCCTCCCACTGCTCCTGACTGGCTTTTCTAGGAGCCTGCAAGCGAAAGTTGCACGCTCCTGCCAAAGGCGACAACGCAGGTCTTTGCGCTGTCTCGCCGAGCCCGCCTGCGTGAACCTTGGAAACTCGCGCGGGGGTTCCTTCCTTACTCATTTCCGCCTTGGCTGCCTTCCTATTGTAGTGCTGCTCTCCGATTGTGTCTGAGCCCTGCCCTTCTGGGGTAGTCCCAGGCTTTGCTAATTACCTTCCCATCACTGAATCCAAAAGATTCAGAGCCGGGAAAGCCAGCTAATTTCCAGATGTCCAGAATTGGGATAGTGAAAAGGGGCCCATGTGGGGCTGGGCGGGTCTGAGAGTTCCCGCCAAACCAAAACAAAAAAGAGTAGGAAGCCAAGGCCACCAGCATTGGTGGTGCTGAGGGGGTTGCCCCGGATTGTGTAGGAGCTATCTCCTCCCAGGTGGGGGAGGGGAGGCCCTCTGTGGGAGACCCTGATATCCGTCAGGCTTCCTGGACCTACAGAATCACAGACCCAGGAAGTGCCCTTGGAGATGTCTCACATCCCACTTCCGTCCTGCGTCAGTCTCTTTCCCCTCATGTCTTTCTGACCCTGACACAGCCCTCATAGTGGCCAACAGCATGGAAATGTAGCACCGGGCGTCTGATCCCAATTCTGTATGGACAGAGTTTTCTAGCTTTGGAGGCTAGTTCCTGTTCTCTCCTGCCTTCAAGCACAGTTCCAGCTGGGCCACCCACCCTTAGAGTTTGTACAACTCTCCCACCCTGAGACTGGAAAGAGGCCTTCCCCAGATCTCCCCTAGACAGGGGCCCTGGGACACGGCCCACCAGCAGTGCAGCAAGGCTGAGCAGACAGACCACGGGAGTGGCAGAGACAGGGAATTCTTAGCTGCAGAGAAAGAGAAAGCCAGACTTCTAGCCTGGGAATGGACCTAATGGGAACTGTACCAAAGGGTGGGGCCAGATCCCTGGCTGTGGGAACTGACCAGGATTTGAGGTAGACAAGGCAACCCCCACAGAGCCAGGCCAGAGGTTTGGTCCCCCTACACTCATTCTCCATTCTTTCCCTGGACCTTCTCTCCTATAGTTGAAACACGGCAAATGTAATGGTGGTGAGGGATGGCAGGGACTGCATTTATTTGCCTTGATCTAGCCCAGGAGAAGTCAGGATAGACTCTGGGCTGCTTGGCCCTGGGGGCAGCTTGAACTGGGACTAGGGTGGGGGCTCCTGGGGAGCTGCCTAGGACACTGCAGCTTTTGTGCCTTCTCCCTGATGCCAACACCCCCACACACACTGCTGCTGCCACTCTAAGGCCCTTTGTCTTTCACTGCTTAGTCACCCCCTTTGTCCTCATCTCAGATGGGGGAGTGGAAAGGGGCATTAGAGTCCTCTGGCGATAGCTCCTCTTGCCCCTGCCCCTGCTGGTCTCCTATCCCTTGTCTAACTCCTCCAGCCCCAGCCCCCTCCACTTAGGGTATGTTGGGGGGTCAAGAGGTGGGTCAGGCAGTCATAAGGGGGTGGGTAATACAGGAAGTGATGGGCACCAGAACAGGTATTAGTGCCCTGAGCAGGAAGGGAGTGGGAGAGGAAGTATTCAGGTGGAGGATGTGATGTTGGGGACAGGAGGTGACAAAGCAGAGAGTGAATAGGGGAATGGGGGCAGGAGGAGGTGGTCCACCTCAAGGAAAGGGAAGAGACTGCTGACTGTACTCTCCTTCCTGGGGATTTCCTGGGAGTGGCCATGGGATGGGGTAGCAGAAATTGCCCCCACTTCTGAACCTTTTACTTCCTTGCCTTGAGAGTCCACCCACAAGCCCTCTTTTCTGAGTTCCCGCCAATCCAGAACCAAAAGAATCATTTCCTTCCTTTCCCTAATACTACCTCTTCCTCCCCCACCATTCTCCCCACCCCAGGTTCTGGGTTCCTGTTTCTCCCAGTACCCTAATTTCCCTATGTGCACATTGTTGCATCCATCCTCGCCCTGCCCCACAGAGAATGAGAAATAAGATTACTAGATATTCCAGGAACCATTGTGTTCTCAGGGCAAAGTGGGGCCAGAGAAGGGAGCCAGGTGGGGATTCCCCCCAGATCCACACTTAGTAAATCTGGGCTCCTGAGAGAGAAAGTCTTGCCTGTGCTAGGTAGGGACTGGCTGACTTGAGGCTGGGGGAGGGTTTAGGGTAATTGGAAGTGGGTAGGAAGAGGGCCAAGAGCCTGGGGGAAGCTACTGGGAGCTGTTCCAGAGAAATGGGGAGTCAGGAAGCGGGGAGGGGGAACCCTGGGGGGGAAATGGAGGTGGAATGGCTGTTCCAGGGGTTTGGAGGGGGTGGGTAGTGGTAACTCAGGAAAGGGGAGCCTGAGGGAGAGAAGGGACCTGGGAGAAGAGGAGGTGCCACCCTGGGCCCTCCTTCTGTAAAAGGAAAAGTCATTAACCCCTCCTGCCTTGTCATCTGCCTCCTTCATATGTTCATTCTAAGCAGAATCATCCTACCTTTGGGCAGTAAACTTCTGATCATTGCCTCTTTGCTTCCCCCATCTCTCTGCCTACTCTGTTCTCTCCAGCCTAGTTCCATCCTGAGGCTCCATCTACCTTCTTTTTTTCTTTTTCCCTCTTGATGTTTCCTTATCTGTTCCCCACCTCTTTCCCCAGGGAGCTCACTCAATCCCCTCAGTCCTGGAAACCAGACTTTAGGGCCAAAGGGCAGCATGAGGGAGCCTTGAGAAGGGGGAGGCCATGCCAGCGTAGACTGTAAGAGCAGGAATTCTCCTAGGACCATGATCCTGTCTGTGCGTGTTAGCCAGGCCCTTTCCCTGACTCTCTGCCTCTCCTGGGGCTTTGTCCCACCAAAAAGGGAAAGAGCGCTTAGGGCTGATTGTGGGGTTTGGGAAAAGGCTATGTCATCGCTGGCCCAGTGCCTATAATCCATCCGGCTGCTAGAGATTCCCCTCCCCTGGGCAAGTCCCACTTTTTTTTTAAAAGGAAAACAAAAACTAGGATTTTAGGAAGCAATGATACACCCATCTGAGTCCTACCGACAGAGCTCTGGCTGAGTGGCTTAGAGAGCAGCCAATCGCAGAGGCTCGGGATGCTTGCTTAAAAGAGCTGGCACTGAGAGAGGCTGGGGAGAACCCACAGGGAGACCCACAGACACATAGACACAAGAGAGACAGAGGAAGGAAGAGACAGAGACAAAGGCTCAGTGGAAGAAGGCAGAGACAGGACAGGCACAGAAGCAGCCAAGACAGAGTTGTACAGAGGGAGAGGCAGAGAAGCTGCGGAAGATACAGACAGAGACAAAGATCCAGGAAAGGAAGGCGCAGGAGGAGAGTTTGGAGAAGCCAGACCCTTGGGCACCTCTCCCAAGGGTTAAGTTTTTTCCATCTCCTCTGAAGGTCCCCAGCCCCTCTGAAAACTCTGCCTCTGACCTTGGCAGGAGTCCGAGCCCCCAGGCTACAGAGAGGAACTTTCCAAAGCTAGGGTGTGGAGGACTTGGTGCCCCAGATGGCCTCAGCCCCTTCCAGCTGCAGCACCAGTGCCATGTCCCGGACAGGCTTGCATCGCGGGAGGGGCTTGGCGGGGCGCTGGCTGTGGGGAGTCCAACCCCGCCTGCTGCTCCCCACTGTGCCCCTCTCCAGGCTGGTTCAACTGCTCCTGCTGCTGCTGTCCTCCCTCCTGCCCTCAGCCTGGCCAGCCAGCCCCCTCCCCCGGGAGGAGGAGATCGTGTTTCCAGAGAAGCTTAACAGCAGCGTCCTGCCTGGCTCAGGCACCCCTGCCAGGCTGTTGTACCGCTTGCCGGCCTTTGGGGAGACTCTGTTACTAGAGTTGGAGCAGGACCCCGGCGTGCAGGTGGAGGGGCTGACAGTGCAGTACCTGGGCCAGGCGCCCGAACTGCTGGATGGGGCAGAGCCGGGCACCTACCTGACCGGCACCATCAATGGAGATCCGGAGTCGGTGGCGTCTCTGCACTGGGACGGGGGAGCCCTGTTAGGGGTGTTGCAGTATCGAGGGGCCGAACTCCACCTCCAGCCCCTGGAGGGGGGCACCCCTAACTCTGCTGGGGGACCTGGGGCTCACATCCTACGCCGGAAGAGTCCTGCCAGCGGCCAGGGTCCCATGTGCAACGTCAAGGCTCCTCCTGGGAGCCCCAGCCCCAGTCCCCGAAGAGCCAAGGTAGGCAGCCCTGGAGTCTGTGTCCTGCAGCGTCCTCCCGCCATGTCTGCCCTACTGACCCCTATTCACCCTCTCTCCACCCACTTCCACTTCTGGCCATTCTGCTTCCCTCCCGTCTGCCTGCCTTTCCTCTCCCCACTAGCCTGCTTTCTTGGGAAAGCTCTGGTCTCTCCCTGCTCCTAGCCAGACCGCTGATCCACTGATCCGCACCGAGGGTTCTCAGAGGTGGGTCAGAGACTTTCGGCTGGGAATGACTGCTCCCTGTTCCCACTCTGCCCCTGCCTGGCCATGGCATCCTCTACTGGCACAGTCCCCAGCAATAAAACTCTCCTAACAGCCCCTTTTGCCTTGGCTCTTTTCTCTGCCACAAGTTTGATTTTCACTCCCACCCTCAGCTAAAGGAGTGAGGTCTCAGGCCCAAAGGATTGGCCTCTGGCTCCTGATGCTGCCTTTACAATTGCTATGGCAAACTGCAAACTAGGGCAGGGGTGGGCAAGGGAGGAAAGGCATGTCATACCTCCTTCTGGTCAATCCCTTTCCCACACTGTGGACTGACTGCATGGCTGCCTGAGGCTCCATCCTTTCCTCCCTCCCACTCCTGGTCTCCCCCCTTCTCCCCTTCCTTCCACCCCCCTCCCTCTTGAGCTTTAATCCAGACCAGACGCTCCCTCCACACCCGCCACGCTGAGCTCTGGCCCTGGCCCTAGCTGCTGACTGAATCGTTCCTCCAACCACACAGGGCAGACACGTAGCAGCCCAGCCCTCCGGCCTTACTCCCACAGGCCCCAGCCGCACGCAGGCCTGGGGAACCCCAAAGCCCTTCCCCAAAGGCAGTCCTGGCTTCTTTCGCCTCTGGGGCCCAGGCAGCCCTGACACCTGGAGTCCGCTTCTCCCCCCGTTCTCGGAACCAGCGCTGATTCCTGAGTCACCACAGAAGCCCTGGGATTCAGGGTTGGAGGGAGGAATCCCGTGGGGTATGTGGGGCCCAGCTGACTCTGCTGAGTTCCAGACCCAGGAAGTGGGGGAGGGGAGAAGTGACCCAGAGTTCTGAGAGGCTATTTCAGGATCCTCCTCTCCCTTTTTCTCTCCAGCGCTTTGCTTCACTGAGCAGATTTGTGGAGACCCTGGTGGTGGCAGATGACAAGATGGCAGCATTTCATGGAGCAGGGCTAAAGCGCTACCTGCTGACAGTTATGGCGGCAGCAGCCAAGGCCTTCAAGCACCCAAGCATCCGCAACCCTGTCAGCTTGGTGGTGACTCGGCTAGTGATCCTGGGGTCAGGCGAGGAGGGGCCCCAAGTGGGGCCCAGTGCTGCCCAGACTCTGCGCAGCTTCTGTGCCTGGCAGCGGGGCCTGAACACCCCTGAGGACTCGGACCCTGACCACTTTGACACAGCTATTCTGTTTACCCGTCAGGTGAGTCCCCAGTCAACACCACAGGCCATGTGCTGCACGATTCCAAGAAGCACCACTACATAGATTGTGATGTAAATGGTGCCCCTGCAGCTGTGTGACCTGGTGCCTGGCCCTAGCCACATTGCCTTGCATGGCCATCTGGGCCCTGCCAGTGCTGGGTACTCAGTGCCTAGGCCCCCCCCTAATCTGGATCTCATCCCAATGGACCCAGGTGTCTTGGCTCCCTGTGCATCTTCTATGATCCCTCTCCATAGGACCTGTGTGGGGTCTCCACCTGTGACACTCTGGGTATGGCTGATGTGGGCACCGTGTGTGACCCGGCCCGAAGCTGTGCCGTTGTGGAGGATGATGGGCTCCAGTCGGCCTTCACTGCTGCTCATGAACTGGGTAGGTGGGGATGGGGGTACAGGGTACCTGGGGAGGATGACAGAGGGATCAGGGATGAGGGGAGGGAATAGTGAGGTCACCAGGGTGTTAATGGGGGGCCCCAAGGTGTTTCTTCCTCCTCCCTAGGCTTACCTACAGGACCATTATCATTCTCTGCTCTGGGTATAGACAAAAAAAAAAAAAATTAGATTCTCCTGTTAAATATGAGTGTGTGGAAACTTGTGAACTTGTGTGTGTGTGTGTTTGGAGGGGGAGTCAGTGAGGGAAGGGATCCTGAGTGTATTTTGGGAGGAGAAGGGACAAAGCAATGGGGGCTACATATTGGGGAGCCCCAGAGCACTATTAAGGGGTTGGGGGCAGGGTGGGAGGGAGAATGGATCTGGACCATCCACAGCTGCAACCAGGTTTATGAGGAAGCCCCCCGAGGGCAACAGGGATGGGACCACTAGACTCTAGCAGGGCCTCTGCTCTCACAGGCCATGTCTTCAACATGCTCCATGACAACTCCAAGCCATGTGTCAGTTTGAATGGGCCCGGGAGCACCTCCCGCCACGTCATGGCCCCTGTAATGGCTCACGTGGATCCTGAGGAGCCCTGGTCCCCCTGCAGTGCCCGCTTCATCACTGACTTCCTGGACAATGGCTATGGTAAGCAGATGGGACTCACCTTTCCCTGTGTGGGACTCACTCCCTGCCCCCAGTGTACTCTCACTTCCACTGCATTCCACGTGGGCCAGTTCACCTCCTCAGGTGTGCTTCCCCTGCAGTGTGGGATGGAGTGAGCAATGCTGCTGTCCCTGGGTGGTCCCCATTTCCTCTCAGAATAAATATAATAGCATAGCTAGGGGAGTCAAATGTTAGCTCAATAGAGCTGACCTTCTAAGGACCAGAACTGTCCACCACTGGAATGGGCTGGCTGTCACTTGATGAGGTGACCAAGAACAGCAGGATGACTTCCACTGCGCAGAGATGTTGATGAGAAGCAGACTCCAGCATGCTGTAGTTGGCTAGAATAGTCAAGAGCACTTGGTGCTTTGGGTTCCAATCCTCATTCTGTTCTTTAAGTGTACAGAGATGTGTGACTGTAAGTTACTTGAGCTCACTGTGTTTGTAGCTGATATATCAGATATGTATAATGTGGTAACCACCTGATAGATGTTTGCCATGATTGAGATGTGCTGGTCAAGCATTTAGCCAATGCTCATCACATAATAAGCATCCAATAAATTGTAGCTGCTATTTAAAGCCTCTTAGAGCCCTAGGATTTTCTAGGATCCATCAGGCCCCAGGGAGCCTAAGCTTTCAGCTGGCAATCCGGAATGCCCTCCTCAGTCCCTTGCTGACTTTGTGCCCCAACCTCCTTTCCAGGGCACTGTCTCTTAGACAAGCCAGAGGCTCCCCTGCATCTGCCTGCGACTTTCCCTGGCAAGGACTATGATGCTGACCGCCAGTGCCAGCTGACCTTTGGGCCCGACTCACACCATTGTCCGCAGCTGCCGCCGCCCTGTGCTGCCCTCTGGTGCTCTGGCCACCTCAATGGCCATGCCATGTGCCAGACCAAGCACTCACCCTGGGCCGATGGCACCCCCTGTGGGCCCACACAGGCCTGCATGGGTGGCCGCTGCCTCCACGTGGACCAGCTCCAAGACTTCAATGTGAGATCTCAGGGCAGACGTGGGGGAAAAGGCCCGAGGCGCGGGGACTGGTGCCAAGCCCTGCGGAGAGTGTGCTCATCCCACTCTTCCGTTCTGTGCCTCTGCAGATTCCACAGGCTGGTGGCTGGGGTCCCTGGGGACCATGGGGCGACTGCTCTCGGACCTGTGGGGGTGGTGTCCAATTCTCCTCCCGGGACTGTACGAGGCCCGTCCCCCGAAATGGTGGCAAGTACTGTGAGGGCCGCCGCACCCGCTTCCGCTCCTGCAACACTGAGGGCTGCCCAACTGGCTCAGGTGAGGGGAAGGAGGGGAGCCCTTGGGAAGAGATGGTAGAGCAGAAAGGACTATCCCTTGGATGCAGGACCAAGAAGGCGTTGATTGCCCCAGCTGTTGGGGGAAGTGACCCTACCCTTTGGGGACTGTCCCTGGCAATCTGTAGGGGAGAACAGCTCCGTGCATTCTAGAGTTCTGAGGGGGCTAAATGGGGGGGGTTGTGGGCAATGTGAGGAGAGAGGGACTCTGACTGTCCATTTTACCCCTACAGCACTGACCTTCCGTGAGGAGCAGTGTGCTGCCTACAACCACCGCACTGACCTCTTCAAGAGCTTCCCAGGGCCCATGGACTGGGTCCCTCGCTACACAGGTGTGGCCCCCCGGGACCAGTGCAAACTCACCTGCCAAGCCCGGGCACTGGGCTACTACTACGTGCTGGAGCCACGGGTGAGGGCCAGGACACCTATCCATGTTCACACGCTCCCCAGTAGTCCCTCTGCTTTCTGATGGCAAAGATCCTCCCAAATAGCACCATTCCTGTTATTTCCACTCCAAGCCAGGCCAACCCAGGGGGCTACTCAAACTTATCTGTCCATGGGTATTGGGTAAGCAAGCCCCAGATTCTGGATAAGTGGCAGTAGGCTGCTCTGGCCTGGCCCATTTGCACCCATTTTTTTTTTCCTCTTTCTCCAATCTTCAAGTGCTGCATTTGGTGAAAAATTCGTGGCCTTTGGGGCAAGTCCTTGGCCCACCCTTTCCATGTGCTCCTCTGTCACATTACAGTGGTGGCCTCATTTGGTCCATGGGGACAGCCAGTCCCTCAAAGGACAGACCTCTTGGGGGTGACTGACGTCCCCACACTTCCTCTGTGTGATAGGGTAGTGGGTTGAAGGCTAAAGAAAGGAAAACAAGCTCTGGCATCATTTTGCTCCCTTTGCCCTTAACCCAAAGAGAATTCTTACAGGTTGGCTGCCCTCTAGTGTCCATCCAGGGACAGTATCATCAGGTTTAGGGCTTGGTGTCAGGACCCAGACCTGCAGTTCCCATCTCTGCTCTTCTGCTTGTCATCTGTGTATCCTTTCGGGCAAGTTCCTTAATCTATCTAACCTTAGTGTTCCATCCCTAGAAACCTCAAACAGTGGTTGTGAGATTTATGTTCATATTTATAAAGCACTCAGCACACTGCCTAATTCAAAGTCGGTGCTCTGAAAATGGTGGCTTTTATAATTATTATTGTCATTATGATTATCATCCCATGTGGTGGCCAGTGCTCACTCTGCACACCATCTCTGCATCCCCTACCTCACCCAGCTTTCCTGACATCCCTCTCTAGTAGGACATGAGTCTTTTTTTTTTGAGACAGAGTCTTGCTTTGTTGCCCAGGCTAGAGTGAGTGCCGTGGCGTCAGCGTAGCTCAGAGCAACCTCAAACTCCTGGGCTTAAGCAATCCTCCTGCCTCAGCCTCCCAAGTAGCTGGGACTACAGGCATGCACCACCATGCCCGGCTAATTTTTTCTATATATATTAGCTGGCCAATTAATTTCTTTCTATTTATAGTAGAGACAGGGTCTCGCTCTTGCTCAGGCTGGTTGTGAACTCCTGACCTTGAGTAATTCGCCTGCCTCGGCCTCCCAGAATGCTAGGATTATAGGTGTGAGCTGCCGCTCCTGGCCGGGACATGAGTCTTGCCTTACTTACCAAGCCCTCTTGACTTAGGAAGAATGCATGACATTGTTCTTTCTCTTCTCCGCAGGTGGTGGATGGGACCCCCTGTTCCCCAGACAGCTCCTCAGTCTGTGTCCAGGGCCGCTGCATCCATGCTGGCTGTGACCGCGTCATTGGCTCCAAAAAGAAGTTTGACAAGTGCATGGTGTGTGGTGGGGATGGCTCTAGCTGCAGCAAGCAGTCAGGCACCTTCAAAAAATTCAGGTTATTTCACCACTTATTTCCTCCTTCTACCTTCCTGGACATTATGCTGGGTTCTGGGGATACAGATGAACTCGGCATTGCTTCCACACTCGAAGAGCTTACAGTCTAGTGGGGGGATAGATGAGTAGGCAGTTACGGTGCCGTGTCCCACGCGTTCACCAGGGATCCACCCCGCTTGCTGTGCGTGCCTTTATGGGCATCAGGGGAGACTTCCTCAGGGGTGACCTCTGTGCTGAGTCTTGGAGGGAGAGCAGGGATTGGGCAGGTACCATGCGGGTGGGGCTTAGAAGGGCACCTCAGCAAGGGGGAAGCAGGTGTAAATGTTCAGCGATAAAAGAGAGGAGGGCTCGTTTGCATGTAGCTCTGATCTAAACTGAACAGCTCACGTAGGTTTGGGGAGACAGCCCTCTGCACACACGTACGCACACATACAGACAAACGCAGCTCAGAGAGCTGAGGGGATTCAAGAGACGCTGAGCTCCCTGTCTACTCGTTCCACACAGGTATGGATACAACAATGTGGTCACTATCCCTGCGGGGGCCACCCACATTCTTATCCGGCAGCAGGGGCCCCCTGGCCCCCGGAGCATCTACCTGGCCCTGAAGCTTCCAGATGATTCCTATGCCCTCAATGGTGAATACACGCTGATGCCCTCCGCCACAGACGTGGTCCTGCCTGGGGCAGTCAGCTTGCGCTACAGTGGGGCCACTGCAGCCTCCGAGACACTATCAGGCCATGGGCCGCTAGCCCAGCCTTTGACGCTTCAAGTCCTGGTGGCCGGCAACCCCCAGAATGCACGGCTACGGTACAGCTTCTTCGTGCCCCGGCCAGCCCCTTCAACACCGCGCTCCACTCCCCAGGACTGGCTGCACCGAAGGGCACAGATTCTGGAGATCCTCCGGCGGCGCCCCTGGGCAGGCAGGAAATAACCTCACCATCCCGGCTGCCCTGTCTGGGCACCGGGGCCTTGGACTTAGCTGGGAGAAAGAGGGAGCTTCTGCAGCTGCCTCGTGCTAAGACACAGTGGGGAGGGGTTGTGGGCATGATGCCTGTCCCTCCTCTCTGCCCAAATGCGCAGGCTGGCCCTGCCCCGGCTTTCTGCCCTGGGAGGCAGTGATGGGTCGGTGGATGGAAGGGCTGAGAGACAGTGTCCTATCTAAACTGCCCCCTCTGCCCTGCAGGTCACAGGTGGGAGGGGGAAAGCAGCGTGGGCCCAGGCCCCAGTTGTATTTATTTAGTATTTATTCACTTTTATTTAGCACCAGGGAAGGGGACAAGGACTAAAGTCCTGGGAAACATGACCCCCCACCCCTCATAGCCCTCACCCTGGCTAGGAAATCCAGGGTGGTGGTGTCAGGCATAAGTGATCTGTGTGCGTTTGTGTGTGAGAAAATGTGTGTGTGCTTATGTATGAGGTACAACCTGCCCTGGATTTCCTCTTCCTGAATTTCATTTTCTAGGAAAAGAAAAGTCAAGGGTAGGATGGACCTTCAGGGAGTGAGGAATTATCATATTTTTAAAATATAAATTGAATTCTGCTATTTATGTGCTCCTTTTGGAGTCAGACAGATGTGGGTTGCATCCTGCCTCCATATCTCTGAGCATTGGTTTTCTCATTTGCCAATAATAATACCTCCCTTTGAAGTTTGTTGTGAGGATTAAATAATGTAAATAAAGAACTAGCATAATGCCCAGCACTTAGCAAGTGCTCAAGAAATGGCAGCTGCCGTTACTTATTATTACATTCTGTGTGCATCCATCCTCCATAGGGTCTGCGATGCACTCGCAAGTGTCAACGATCCGTGCCAATGGTGCCTGCCTTGCCCCCAGGTTCCATTCCCTTAGTTGGCAGAACCCTATCTTGGAATCCAAGGGACTATCAGAGAAAGGACGATTCTGTCTCTCACCTCTGGTGGCTCCTAATCACATGAAGGAGACATGATAAACTCTTGGTGCTGGGTATAGTGGCATGGCACCCATAGTCCAAGTTACCTGGGAGGCTGAGGCGGGATGATGGCTTGAGCTCAGGTGTTCAAGCCTTCGGTGATGTATCTGGAACAAAGAGTAATCACAACAAAAAAGGCCGGGCGTGGTGGCTCACGCCTGTAATCCTAGCACTCTGGGAGGCTGAGGTGGGCGGAATGCTCGAGGTCAGGAGTTCGAAACCAGCCTGAGCAAGAGCAAGACCCCATCTCTACTATAAATAGAAAGAAATTAATTGGACAACTAACATATATAGAAAAAACTAGCCGGGCATGGTGGCGCATGCCTGTAGTCCAAGCTACTTGGGAGGCTGAGGCAGGAGGATCGCTTGAGCCCAGGAGTTTGAGGTTGCTGTGAGCTAGGCTGACGCCATGGCACTCACTCTAGCCTGGGCAACAAAGCGAGACTCTGTCTCAAAAAAAAACAACAAACAACAACAACAACAACAACAAAGGCTTCAGTGAGCTATGATTGCAGCTGTGACTAGCCACTGCACTCCAGCCTGGATGACACAGTGAGACCCCCATCTCTAAAATAAATAAATAAATAAACACTTGGCCACAAGTACAATTGACAAGAACATGAAGGTGCAAAAATAACAAGAAAAACAATAACATACATCAACATGAGCACAGACTTGATTGTAAGAGTGATAGTTGAGTGGCTTGGGGGAACTGTTATAGTGGAAAGAGCACCAAAGTGGGAGCCGAAGGTCTGAGCTTGAGTTGGGGTTCAGCAGCTCATTAGCTGGGTGATGTTGGGTCAGCCACTGGTGCTGAGCCTTAGATTGCTCATATGTGGAATCAAACTAATGATCCCTATTTCCACAGATTTGTTCTAGGAACAAATGTTAAAAAATTTTCAAAACAGTAAAGGCTCTAGCCACATGAGAGTTTCCCCTTATGACTGAGTGACTGGGACAAGGTCTCCTGAATCATCCATTGTAAACTGAGCCAACTTCTTTGGGGATGTGAAGTTAGAATGGAATTTCATAAAAATGAACGGGACATAGTTTGGTAGGAAATAGGCAGGAAGGCAGAAAGAGTAACATGGAGAAGGACCTGGGGGTGCAGGTGTGCAGTGGTGACAGAATACTTGAGGAGAGGTAGGGTACTGCAGACAGCTCTGCTCTTCCTTCTGAGCAAGGAAGAAAGAACTTGGGCAGTCCCGTGTGTGTCAGGGATGGAATGCGGATGGCAGGTAGCCCCAGCAAGAATTTGGAGTTTCGAATGGCAGAAGCAGGACTGCTAGGGATTGGGGAAGGGAGGGGCTGGATATGGAGTAAGGGAGGAACTGTAGGGAACGAAGACACTGAGGTGGGGGTACAAGAGGAGAGGATGGGGAGCCAAGGGCACTTGACTGTGCCATAGCAGGCCCGAGCTGGCTGCTAGACATTGCTTGGGGTATGGAGCGGGGAGTACGGGGTTGAGGCAGGCCATGGAGGGTTGTGGTAGGAATGGATGCTGTGCTCACTGGGGCTGGGCTCTGCTAACCGAGTTCTGTGCCAGGCAGTGCCTTCCACAGCACCCTGTGCTTTACACAACCCAGCACAGCGCCTGCTCCCTGTGCAGCAACGAGAGAAGGGCCACCCACACTCTCTTCTCTCTGGTAAACATGGCTCCCCGCTGCTGTGCCTGGCCCACTGGCCTTTCTTCTGGTCCTCCTACCAACCAGGCTGGAGAAGGTAGAAACAGGACAACGGGACAAGGCCAGAGTAATCTTCACTTGTTTCATCTAGTTAGTAAAATTGGATCACCAATGCTATGTTTATGAAGCTTAAATACTGTGAGCCCATGGTACAATGAGCAGAGCTCTGTGAGTAGATGTGAGGTACAAACACAAACAATATATGACCTTGCCCTAAAGGAGTTCACACTGCATTGTGAGCCAGGGAGATGGTGTACTAAACCTCTATAAGACAAACAATGGGACCTTACAAGGAACTGTCCCATTGTAAGATAAGGTCCCAGTGAACTATGCAGAGACTGAGCTCTGACTTAATGGGCTATGAGGGTTAAGGAAGGTGAGTGTTGGGCTGGGCTCAGGATAGCAGGAAATCACAATAGTCTTTCTTACCTTTCTGCAAAGCTAATGGCGATTTACACTTTGTAAATCACTTTCATGTGTGTTATTTGAAGAGGAAGCCCTTTACTCACTAAGTGGAGTTCTCACTGGCAAAAAGAAATTTTTCTGAGAATGGGACTAAGCTTAAGGGGTCCACTTCTGTGATTGGGTGGGAGCTAGAGTGAAAGGGGCACAGAGAGAGCTAGCCCCATAAAAACAAGTGATTTGCATCATAGCCCACAATTCCAGGCAAGACCTGGCCCCATTCATTCTGGGATGGTCTCCATGCTGGGAGGCACTGTGAACCTCCCATATCACCCCTCCCAGACCCAGGTTGTATGCAGGCTCTACCTAATATTCTGAAGCCAGGAGTCCAACAAATTCTTGCGGGGCACATTCCTCCCGGTAAGAGCCAAGATGATATTGCTCTCATGGGCCTGAGCTGGGGTGTGAATATACAAGCTGGAGCAAAAACAGGAATAACATGAAAGAGTCACTGAGACAGTTTAAGTATCTGGTCCTGGCAGTGGAAAGAGGGAATAACGTGGAGATGGAAAAAGAAGAGGCAGTGACTGACAAGGGAGTGAGCACCCTGTTCCTGGAGAAGTTCAAACAAAAATTGGACAACCATTTTATGGGATGGCAAGTGTGGTATGTAACTATGTGTTTGAGGTAGGGGAAGAGGCTGAAGCAATAACTGAGTTGGGCCAATTTCTTTTAAGTTTCTTCTGCCCCTGAGGTTCTCTGCTTCTGTGGTTAGAGCAGAAGAAATCTGGGCATTTGTTCAACCACTATTTTCATGATGGAGGTGGGAAAGCCAGAGTTTCTGGAGGGTGCTATGGAATGGGCACTTCTACTCCATCTCTAGCCCCACCTCTTTAACCTCCACATGGTATTATAGTATTTCGTTTTCTAAAATACAGGACTGACAGTAAGTGACAAAGCCACCATCTCATTGGTCAGGGCTTGGGGTGGGGGAGGAAGGAGGAAGAAAATGGATTTCAATGTATTAACATTTTATTGGCTAAGAGGATGTTGCTGAACCAATTGAATATCTTCTCCATTGACTGTTGCTGGGGGGAAGCCAAAATCATTGGCAGCAAGAGCAACCAGATGATAGCTGGAGGAAACCACCAGTTCTAAAAATGCTCAGAAGGAGGGGGGTTGGGGAGGTGGGGGAGCAACAGTACTGAACAACTTCCCCAGACAGGACCTTATATGGGGACAGACCCAGAGTACTTAAGTAGCCATAGGAAGGAAAGGGAGGGGAGGAAGTAGTGCATCCTCACAGTTTTTGGGCAACCAGCAACAGGCCCCACAAACCCATGTAAACAGTGACACATGCTGACATGCACACACACACACATCCAACTTCATAGAGATACACTATCACATTCTCCTGATAATGTAGATGCAAATAAGCAGTAGGGAACTAAAAATGTAAGAATTTTGGCCTGAAAATAAGTCTGAAGAGTAAAATATACTAATTGGCCTAATGTCTCATTGAGAATTAACTATTTATCCCATTTATTTGTTTGATAAATAAGTCATTGGATTGTGAACTGTTGTAATCATGTCCTCATAGCATCTGGAAAGGACACAGATTTTTGGAGTAAAACCAAATCCAAGCCTTGCTACATGCATGTAATGATGTGGCCTTAAATTAGTTGATCTCTATGAACCTCAGTTTCCTTGTCTGTAAAATAGGTATACTATCTGCCTTATGGAAAGGTTGTCAGAACTTAATATAATAATGTAAATGTTTAACACTATGTCTGGCTTCTAGTAAGTGATCAATACATGCTGACTCTCCCTTGAATCTCCTCCTTTGCCTTCCCCCTGCCCCCAAACTCCTGCATTAGCACGAGAAAATAATTATACTAAAGAACCATCTAGGTCAGATCTAAAATGGGCTATTGTAGAATTTGTGCCAAAGTCCCGGGTTGCATTCAGGGAATGACAAAAGGGAAAACATGGTCCCTATTCTCAGAGATTTCACAATCTGTTTTTTTTTTTCTTTTTATTATTTTTTTGAGACAGAGTCTCGCTTTGGTGCCCAGGCTAGAGTGAGTGTCATGGCATTGGCCTAGCTCACAGCAACCTCAAACTCCTGGGCTCAAGCAATCCTGCTGCCTCAGCCTCCCGAGTAGCTGGGACTACAGGCATGCGCCACCATGCCCGGCTAATTTTTTCTATATATTAGCTGGCCAATTAATTTCTTTCTATTTATAGTAGAGACAGGGTCTCGCCCTTGCTCAGGCTGGTTTTGAACTCCTGACCTTGAGCAATCCACCCGCCTCAGCCTCCCAGAGTGCTAGGATTACAGGCGTGAGCCACCTTGCCCGGCCGAGAGTTCACAATCTGATGTCTGAGACAGTCAGGTAGCACAAAAATTCCAGTCTTGTGTGATAGGTACCATGATAGAGGAGGGGCACCTAGCCCAGAATGTGCAGTCACAGAAGTGTTCCTGGAGGAGGTGTCTGCCTCCCTGTCTACAGTAAGCTGAAAGACTGCAGGAACCACATGAAGAGCTGGGGAGAAGGAAGGATTTCTGTTTTCTAGGCCAGTTCCAGGGCTCTTCCATGTTATGCAAAACCAAAGTGAAGTAAAGAGAACAGCCCTGAAGCTGGAGGGTAAGATAAAGAGCTGAGTGGGGAGAGGTCTGGGAAAACTGTGTGGGGTCAGGGGGTGGGGAGGGGTCGTTTTGGGGATGAGCTATCGTCCAGGTGGAAAACGTTAAATGAGAGAGAAGAGGATTTTTAAGGACTTTGGGCTGTACATTAAAATGCGCTCCTGCTCCACTCCCCCTCTCAGCTGCCTCTGAGGTTTCCTTGAGAAATTAAGTAGAGATTTAAATTAGTTTTGGATTACTAGACTGGCTTTCTTTTATATGTGGTATGTGTCATGGCTGGGCCACTAGAGGCCCTAGGGCTTATTCAGAATATGGAAAGACAGGATGTTGTGCTGGAAACCAGCATATTAGAATTTAAACTTTCAGAAATGTAGCAATTGTAGATGATGCCTTAGTCCAGGGTGTGGCCAGGGTGAAATGGAGTGGAAGTGAAGGTTCTTGAGAACAGGGAGCTTAGAAATGAATGCAGGGGAGTAGTCAAAAGATGGCAGATAGACAAGGGAAGCTGGGTGTGGTGGTGTGTGCCTACAGCCCCAGCTACTCTGGAGGCTGAGGTGAGAGGCTCACTTGAGGAGTGCTGTATCCAGGAGCTTGAGGAAAGAGGGGGTACAGAAAGTGAAGGTCAGTTCTACATGAACAAAACACCATGGAGGTGGTGCATGCCTGTAGTCCCAGCTACTCGGGAGACTAAGGCAGGAGGATCGTTTGAGCCCAGGAGTTTGAGGTTGCTGTGAGCTAGGATGATGCCACGGCACTCTAAGCTGGGCAGTACAGTGAGACTGTCTCAAAAAAACAAAACAAAACAAAAAACAAACAACAACAACAACAACAAAAACACCATGGAAGAGCAGAGGCTTAGAGGAAGGGTCCTCTAGGAGAACCGCATTTCACTTATCTGCATAAGTCTGTCTTTTCCACTACACAGTGAGCGCCTTAAAGGAAAATCAGGGCTTTTACTTGGCTCTTATTTGTGCTCAAAATTCAGATGTATTGATTATTTTGTCTGCTGACATTTTCCCATAGTTCTCACTAACAATCACGAAACCTCTTAAGATGGGGTTCAATTTATAGATGAATGTATTGCTCAGTCACACAGTCTATGGGTTTCAAAACTGGTGTTGTATTCAAACACAGTATTATCTTATTTTAAACCTCCATAGGTACCTCAAACTCATTAAGTCCAAAGTTTGTCATCTCTACTCCTCCCCACAAATGTTCTTCCTAAAATTTGTTTCTCATTAAATGGCACCACCCAGTGGTCCACATTAGAAATCCAGGAGTCATCTTGAACTCCCTGACTTGGCCCATCCAGTCAACTACCAAGTCCCGTTTGCCTCCTGAAAGATTCACAAAGATACTTTCTTCCCTCCAGTCCCACTGATATTACCTTACTTTGCAGGAGCTCCATCCTACTCCTGGATTCCTGCAGAACATTCTAGTCTCCCTGCCTCCAGCCTTGACCACTTCAATTTTGACCACATTTCCACCAAAGTAAAGTTCCTAAAGTTCTCATCATAGCACTCTCTGTTTGGAGCAGTTTAATGCCTTCTGCTTGCCCTCAGGATAAAACCCAAACTCTTTTAATATAGTTTATGGAGTCTTTTATTATCTGGCATCTGCTTACCCCTCCAGTCTTATATCTCAACATTCCCTTCAATCTATTGTCTAACCTTTCTGAATCATTTTTAATTTCCCAGACTTCCTAATTTCTTCCTCATTTCCAGACTTTTGCACTTCTATTTTCCTCTGCCTGGAACACTGTTCGTCTGTTAAAAGATAATTTTCAGGCCGGGCGCAGTGGCTCACGCCTGTAATCCTAGCTCTCTGGGAGGCCGAGGCGGGTGGATTGCTCGAGGTCAGGAGTTCGAAACCAGCCTGAGCAAGAGTGAGACCCCGTCTCTACTATAAATAGAAATAAGTTAATTGGCCAACTAATATATATAGAAAAAATTAGCCGGGCATGGTGGCGCATGCCTGCAGTCCCAGCTACTCAGGAGGCTGAGGCAGGAGGATTGCTTGAGCCCAGGAGTTTGAGGTTGCTGTGAGCTAGGCTGATGCCACGGCACTCACTGTAGCCTGGGCAACAAAGATAATAAAGATAATAAAAAAAGATAATTTTCAGAAAAGGTAAAATTATGACTCTCCTACTGTTAAAGAAAAAAATTATTCTGACACTTGTTAAAACAGTAAGGAAGACTTTATTCAGGACTATCGTATTAGGTGAAAAGTCTATCCCAAAAATGGAGACAGAGAGATTGGGGTCAAATTCCAATACAGCAAGGACAAGTAAGGATTAACAGTCAATAACTCAGTTTGCACAGTGACTTTTGGGTTAAAAAAAGAAAAAAAACATAATCAATGAGCAGAATGAGGGAGTCAGTGGATGGATGGAAAATTACACAAAAGGGGGATTTTTTTTTTTTTTTTGAGACAGAGTCTCACTTTGTTGCCCAGGCTAGAGTGAGTGCCGTGGCGTCAGTCTAGCTCACAGCAACCTCAAACTCCTGGGCTCAGGCAATCCTACTGCCTCAGCCTCCAGAGTAGCTGGGACTACAGGCATGTGCCACCATGCCCGGCTAATTTTTTGTGTATATATATATATATTAGTTGGCCAACTAATTTCTTTCTATTTATAGTAGAGACGGGGTTTTCCGCTCTTGCTCAGGCTGGTTTTGAACTCCTGACCTCAAGCAATCTGCCCGCCTCGGCCTTCCAGAATGCTAGGATTACAGGCCTGGCCTAAAGCGGGATTCTTGCTAAACCGATTTAACAGGATTGTTGCTGAAGGCAGGTGAGGATGATCAGATATCAAGGATGCGGGGGTGGGGATTCCCCTTAAACTTACTTGGCAGGATCCTGGCTAAAACTGGCTAGGCAGGCCCCACACAGGGCCCAAGGACAAGACCTAGTCACAAAGAGGGCCCAGAGGAGCCTATTTAAAGTTTGGTTAAGGAGAGAGTCTTTGTCAATAGCCATATAAAAATGAACACATGTTGATTTTATTTAACTCATGAAGGAACTGGGAGATGTTGAAACTGGTACAAGAGAAAATCTAGAGAACAGACACATTTACAGAGCAGCAATACAGAAGTGGGCACTTTTTCTTGCTGGTGTATGAGGATGCTGCTGAGGCACTGACACGGCACAGCCATGGCCGCTTGGAGCTCCTGCTGGCAGAGAACATCAAGTCGTGGAGGAACCACCAGGTCATCGGCCCCTTCAGGAGGTTCACCTGCACCATCAGCCCCGACGGGCACAGTAACTGGGCATTGCCCGTTGGGTGGGACCGGAAAGCCTCCACTCGCTGCAGCCAGGCGGCACTTTGCCTGAGGGGACTTGAGGGGGACCACGTGGCCTGGACTGTGGGCGGCTGCTTAGGTGCCAGCCCAGACTTCTCCCGTCCCAGGCCTGGACCCCAGGCCTAGACCCCGGCCCTCGACCTCCACCCCACCTCATCTTGGACTCAACCCTCCACCCCAAAACCCGGGTTCTGCTCTGGGCCCTCTTCTCCTTGCCCGCTCCTCCTGCTTTAGGGGCTTTCTCTCTTGCTCTTCCTCCTCTCTATCCCCTCTACTTCTCATCCAGAGATTGAGAGGAAGATTGGGGGAGGTTATTGGTTCCAAGGAGCCTGAACAACCATTTGGATCCAGGGAAACTTTGACCCAGGAATATAGTGATAATGGCTCTGTTTATTGAGCTTTTACTAAGTTCCTGGCACCACTATTTTTTTTGAGACAGAGTCTCACTCTGTTGCCTGAGCTAGAGTGCCGTGGCATCGGCCTAGCTCACAGCAACCTCAAATTCTTGGGCTCAAGTGATCCTTCTGCCTCAGCCTCCCGAGTAGCTGGGACTACAGGCATGCGCCACCATGCCTGGCTAATTTTTTCTATTTTTGGTAGAGACAGGGTCTCCCTCTTGCTCAGGTTGTTCTCCAACTCCTGAGCTCAAAGGATCCGCCGGCCTCGGCCTCCCAGAGTGCTAGGATTACAGGCATGAGCCACGGCAACTGGCCTGGCACCACTATTTTTCTTTAACGCTAAAGGATGGGTATTTGCCCATTTTATAGCCAAGAAAACTGAGGTCCAGAGAGGCCAGATGACTTACCAAGGTCACCTAGTAAGTGGAGAGCCTGGCAGGTTCCCCTCCATGCAATGTTGCACCATGAGAGGAGCAAGGCCCCAGCAGATGGAGTAGGGCCCAAAGTGGCAGTTACCTCCCTGTCTCTCCTTTTGGTTCTCTCAGCTCAGGATATTCCTTTCTTAGCTCAGAAACTAGATTCAAATTGAAAGTTAACTTTGCCTCAATAAACTAATTTATTTGACAGATAAGAATAGAACAGTTAAATATATGCTGTCCTGGCACAGGAAAAAAAAAAACCAAAAAGAATACAGAAATGATTATGAAAATGGAGGCCAAAACTGTTTTTCCCCCCACAATATGGGAAGTAGTAGGTTAACTGAATCTCCACCAGACAGCACAGAATTTGCATACGGATCAGTTACCCACACTGAGTTGTGAAATAAGTCCCATGAAAACAGAATCTTTAGGCTGGGCGTGGTGGCTCACGCCTGTAACCCTAGCACTTTGGGAGGCCGAGGCGGGTGGATTGCTCAAGGTCAGGAGTTCGAAACCAGCCTGAGCGAGACCCCCCCCCCCCCCCGTCTCTACCAAAAATAGAAATAAATTAATTGACCAACTAAAAATATATATACAAAAAATTAGCCGGGCATGGTGGCACATGCCTGTAGTCCCAGCTACTCGGGAGGCTGAGGCAGTAGGATCGCTGAGCCCCGGAGATTGAGGTTGCTGTGAGCTAGGCTAATGCCACGGCACTCACTCTAGCCTGGGCAACAAAGTGAGACTCTGTCTCAAAAAAAAAACAACAAAAAAAAAACAGAATCTTTAAAGCAGAAGGATATGCTATAGACGGGTCCTTCAGGTTTTCTCACTAGCCATCACTTCTGGAAAGCCTTTCTGGAATCTCCACGTGTGAACGAGGTGCCATTTCTGGGCTAGCATATTTATCATGCTGTATTGTTTACATCTCTCCCTCCCCCAATACATGCACAGAAGACCATGAGCTTTTTGAGGCAGATTCTGTGAGTTATTCAAGTCTCTTACTGTTTCCTGAGCGTGAACATCTGCTTCTAAGAAGCGCGGTATGTCCGGGGATAGTGGAAGCCCCAAGATCAACATACTGCATATATGAGAAAACAGATTTTTACATTAAAGCAGACGCTGCCTTCCCCTCCTTCATTGTTTTATTAACTAACCATTTCTATTTCGAGGCCTGCGGGATATACCATGGGAATACAAAAATGCGGTAGAGCGGTCTGCAACGCTCTGGCCTGCGCGAGAAACAGTTTCGATACTAAATGGCACTGGGCTGCAGGGGGCGCCGCTGACACGCTGGGAGAGGGGCTCAGCTTACCCCGGGGTGACAGTGAGGTCACCGGACGCCCCAGAAGCTGTCCCACTGGCCTCTTGGTAAGTCTCGGCCCTGAGGAAAAAGAAGAGCTTGAGCTGCTGCTTTTACAAATCTGAGGGGTGGGAAATGGAACCCCGCTAGCAGTCTGCGAGGTGGGGATGAGCCCCCGCGCCCGCTGCCCGCGGGGTCGTGTCCCTTCCGGCCTCCAGCCTACGCCGCAGCGGACCCCGGCCGGCCGGGGGCGGCGCTGGGACCCTGCGCTCTGCCGGCCTGGGCGGCTCCGCCCGAGGCCCCGCCCCCCGCGCCCGCTTCCAAGATGGCGACAGCGATGCTTGCCCGGCTGCCGGGGTGGCGGTGACGACGGGCAGCAAAAGACCAGGTATGTGGGCCAGGGATGATGCAGAGAGAGGCCCGGAAGAAAGGTTCGGGCGGTCGGAAGGGCGAGAAGTTTGGGTAACGCCTGGAGACAAGCTTGAGCAGTGACGGGGTCCCAGGTGGAAGTAGGGACGGGGGCCGGGCGGGCTCATATTGCAAGGTAGGGCAAACGCAAGAAGAGATTGGGACGGAATGGGCGTGCTTCGAAAGAACTGGGTTTTAACCTCCTGCACAGCGTACCAGGACCACACCCCTCCAGGTGAGCCTGCCCAGGTACCCCCGACCGTCTGTGCTCCAGCCCCCTCTCTGCGCTTCTCACTTCAGCAGTAATCCTCCTCCCCACCCCCGCTAGGACTGGGGAAGGGTAGGAAAGGTAGAGGACGCCACCCCCACCCTTCTCCCCGCCGCGCTCCGCGGCTGTTAGCTTGCAGCTCCCAGGTGGTCACACTCCCTGCACTTGCGGAGCTAGCTCCCAGGCACGTGAGGAACTGAAGGAGACTGTTTCCTACTTCACCCTGGGTACTCCTGAGGCCACTCCACGGTCCTGTCATGACTGTCTCACCCTTTGAACAGGCTCTCGATCTGGGAGAATACAATGTCTACATTAGCGGACCTGTCCCCACTCAAACAAGTTCGTCCTGTTGGAGTGGGGGTAAGGGGGTTTAAATAGAAATCTGACACTATCACGCCTGGGTAGCCTGAGAGAGAGGCCAGGGACTTAGCATCTGCTGCTCCTCCTCTTTTCTCTCCAACCACTTTCCTTCATTTCCCCTGCTGGGAAACTGGCTTCCCCCTGATCCTGATCTCTGTGCAGGTAGTTAGTTATCCTTTACCACTTCTGTTCCAGCTGGTCCCAGATTCGCTGCTGGAGTGCTGGATTGAACTTTTCTCTGTCCTATGTGACATTTCCAATTTTAGATAATGCCTCACATCTCTGTCCCCCCGGGACCCCCTGAAGCCCCCATGATCCCGAAGAAGACAGCTTGAGCCTAGGTGAGTCTGTCTCTTTTCCTCTAAAATTGGAAGAGGGGTTCTCCAGAGACTCTACTGAAATGAACATGGGACTTGAATGATGTAAGCATTCTTGGGGGTGGGGACTTGAGAGTAGATGGCGGGTGTGGTTTGGGGGGAGGTGGAGGAGAGTGGAACTTGGGCTGAAGTGACAGGTGGTAGGGCTGCTAGTGGTTACATTCTATTTTGCTTCCTAGCGCAACTGTACACCTGTGTGCTCCCTTCTGTGACTTTGTTCTCTGCCTGTTTTTCTTCTTTACCCCTGGCACTACCTTCATCCCTACCTGCTGCTCGCTCTCTTCCTGCCTACCCCCAGAACCCCCCTCTCTCCCTCCCCAGACCTCACCCCAGGATGTTGCGGAGGCTGCTGGAGCGGCCCTGCACGTTGGCCCTGCTTGTGGGCTCCCAGCTGGCTGTCATGATGTATCTGTCACTGGGGGGCTTCCGAAGCCTCAGTGCCCTATTTGGCCGAGATCAGGGGCCGACATTTGACTATTCTCATCCCCGTGATGTCTACAGTAACCTCAGTCATCTGCCTGGGGCCCCTGTTGCCCCAGGGGGTCCTCCAGCTCCTCAAGGTCTGCCTTACTGTCCAGAAAGATCTCCTCTCTTAGGTGAGTGCAGGAGAAAGAAGGTGAAGGAAAGGACAAAGTAGTAGGGCAGGGAGGCTTGGGAAGGCATGGAGTGGGACTCAGAAGAGGAGAATAATGTACCCTGAAGTTGGGCTGAGGTTGAGATAGACTCTGAATTTGGAATTTAGACTAGGCTCTTGGGTTGGGCCACAACTTTTCATTGCCTGCCCATTTATGGGCTTTTCCTGCCCCAGGTTAGGAATTGTTTTCCTTGTAGATGAGCCCTGGTTTAATTAGCTGGAAGTCCTGTTCTCTCCATCCCCCAACTATAGCTTCCAACCTTGTGAGACAGGAGGAGATTATGGTACTCTAAAATAAAAAAGTAGGCTAGGTAAGGAGCCTGCACCTTCCAGGCTTTGTAGAGCTGTCCCAATGATGGGGACCCCAAGGCTTGTGAGATTTCTGGTTGAGCCCTTGGGGGACTGAGTCCCAGAACCAGACTGCAAGGGTCGGAGGTATTCCTAGGCCATGGTGTTCATTCGTTTTTCTTTGCCCCTCTGATCCCTGAACTTGCCATTCCTTTCCAACAGTGGGTCCTGTGTCAGTATCCTTTAGCCCAGTGCCATCACTGGCAGAGATTGTGGAGAGGAATCCCCGGGTGGAACCAGGGGGCCGATACCGCCCTGCAGGATGTGAGCCACGCTCTCGAACAGCCATCATTGTGCCCCATCGTGCCCGGGAGCACCACCTGCGCTTGCTGCTCTACCACCTGCACCCCTTCTTACAGCGCCAGCAGCTTGCTTATGGCATCTATGTCATCCACCAGGTACCCGCAATCCCCACCTCACTCTTTCTTATATGGAAGCTTCAAGCAAATGCCATTCCAGTCTCAACTGATGGGTCCGTAGAGTAATTTTAAGAAGGCCAGACTGTTGAATGTGAAGAAGCACCTGGCCCTGTTCTTCCAAACTTGTTAGTCCCATTCTTCTCATTCTGTTTAGGGTATTCCACTGTCATACTCTTCCATGATTTTTCCTTTGTTGAGTGGCTTGTGCAAATTTGGAATTGCACACATTTCTAAAATTCTAGTTCTAGAATTCTAAACTAAAATTCTAGTTCTGCCATTTGTTACATGTGTGACATGTAACAAATAGAGGGCAAGATACTTAACCCTCCAAAATGAGGCAGATATTAGATAACTAATGTGCTATCTGTTTCACATGGTTGTTGGTTGTCAGGATTAAATGCTAAACAGGAACATGTAAGTATCAGGCACTGATATGCAAGAAAAACTTGAATGACTAAATGAAAAAACAAAAAAGGCAGTTTGTTTTTCTCTTCATTTTCTTTGACCTGCATCACACTTTGATTTACTTCTTTTCACTTTTATCCTTTAGCCCTCTCTTCTCCATGCTACCTATAAATGTAGTCTGGTCTGCCTCCATTATCTTCCAGGCTGGAAATGGAACATTTAACAGGGCAAAGCTGCTGAATGTAGGGGTGCGGGAGGCTCTGCGTGATGAAGAGTGGGACTGCCTGTTCTTGCATGATGTGGACCTCTTGCCAGAAAATGACCACAATCTGTATGTGTGTGACCCTCGGGGACCCCGCCACGTTGCTGTTGCCATGAACAAGTTTGGATACAGGTACAGGGCATGGAAGGATGCTGGGAAGGAGGGAAACCCACCATCCAGTGAAAGGAGAGCCAGGGGGCTTGTGGCTGGGGATGTCTCCCCAGAAGACTTGTGGAATGCAAAGATCTTTCTCTCCCTAGCCTCCCGTACCCCCAGTACTTTGGAGGGGTCTCAGCGCTCACTCCTGACCAGTACCTGAAGATGAATGGCTTCCCCAATGAATACTGGGGCTGGGGTGGTGAGGATGACGACATTGCTACCAGGTCAGACTTCCTGCTACCACCTCCCTCCCCACCCCAGCCTGGAACCTTGTCTTCTAAGACCATCCATTGCCATAGACTTCAACACTAACTTTAGCTCCCTGGTCCTGCACTGAGCCCATTCCTTTCCTTTAATCTTTTCAGTATACCAAGTCAGGCTCTGCACGCTACTGCCTATTCAGTCATCCTTCAGTCTCCTAGATCTGGTTAGTTATATTCCTAGGAAAGGAGATAGACCAATAGGAAATAGTATCATGGGATCCTAGAGCTGGAAAGGGGCCTAGAGATGGTTTAGTCCCATCTTCTGCTAGGGTCGCATCAAGACTACTTCCTGTGGGGATGGGGAAGGGGCTCCACTCCATGTAGCCCAGAATCACTTTATGTTAAAAAAAAAAAAAAAAAAAGAAAGAAAGATCTATGCCATTGGCATGATGCCAGATATGTTTTAGCATGAGAAACATTCTGACCTTCAGCCTCAGCTGACCCAATTTCATGTCTGGTGTGAGTATTTGGGCTTGGTATGCTGGACCAATTTCCTCCCATCCCCCTTGTGTCCTCTGGGATGACATTACTATGTGAATTCTCATCCTCTGTATGTGTGTAAAGCACCCAGCAAATTCTAAATGTACATCTTGCAATTCCTTCCCAAGCCATCTTTATTCCATGTTTGTGGGTATCAGAGTTGGGGTTTATTTCTTTCAAAGTCCTCAGTACCTGGTTCTACCCTTTTCTTAACACAGGAGCAGGGAGAGAGAAATTGGGGGAGCTCAGCCACTATTCTAAATAAGAATCGCTGAGCTTTGGGCTGCAACTCCCAGTCTTATCCTTTTGACAAAATATCCTATCTCCCTTGTCCTTCCCAGACTGCAAGGGCAGCTCCTGGGAGCCATTTAGGAAGCAAAGGGAGGAGGCACAAACCTACCCCTGCCAATTGTTTTTTTGTTTTGTTTTTTTTTGAGACAGAGTCTCACTTTGTTGTCCAGGCTACAGTGCCGTGGTGTCAGCCTAGTTCACAGCAACCTCAAACTCCTGGGCTGAAGCAATCTTGCTGCCCCAGCCTCCCGAGTAGCTGGGACTACAGGCATGCACCACCATGCCCGGCTAATTTTTTCTATATATTTTAGTTGGCCAATTAATTTCTTTCTATTTATAGTAGAAACAGGGTCTCACTCTTGCTCAGGCTGATTTCGAACTCCTGACCTTGAGCAATCTGCCTGCCTCGGCCTCCCAGAGTGCTAGGATTACAGGCATGAGCCACCGCGCCCAGCCTTCTGCCAATTGTTTAAAGGCCCCAGGGTGCTGGCACTGGGCCCTGGGGATTTGGATATATCCAGCTTTCACATTCTCTTTAGCCATTTCTGTCTTTCTCTTTGGCTCCACCTCCCTCCCTCCCTGGTACTTGGCACGTTTTTTGCCTAACTAGTAATAATTGTTCTTTGTGTATGGAAACATGCAATCCCTTACTTTCTGGCCTTAGCTCTTCTTGTTCACCTGTGAACCCCTTTCCTTGACTCTGGATCCTCCAAGATTCCCTCCTTTTTCTCATAGGGTGCGCCTGGCTGGGATGAAGATCTCTCGCCCCCCCACATCTGTGGGACACTACAAGATGGTGAAACACCGAGGAGATAAGGGCAATGAGGAAAATCCCCACAGGTAGGAAGGAAGGACTGCCTGCAAATCGTTACTGGATCCTCAGGGTTTTGTTCCCCTAGCCAGGAAACTCCTAAAGGTCCCTAAATTCCTGGCTATTCCTTTCTGGGTCTCAGTCTCCAACCTCTAACCCTCAGATTTGACCTCCTGGTCCGTACCCAGAATTCCTGGACACAAGATGGGATGAACTCACTGACATACCGATTGCTGGCTCGAGAGCTGGGTCCTCTTTATACCAACGTCACGGCAGACATTGGGACTGACCCTCGGGGTCCCCGGGCTCCCTCTGGTCCCCGTTACCCACCCGGTTCTTCCCAGGCCTTCCGTCAAGAGATGCTGCAGCGGCGGCCCCCAGCCAGGCCTGGCCCTCCACCTACTGCCAACCACACAGCCCTCCGTGGTTCACGCTGACTCCTCCTTCCTGCCCACCTTAATCATGAAACTGAATTTGAGGGGTTGTATTGTCCCCACTCCCCAGCTCCTCACTGCTCTTAGAGGGATGTGGGGGGAACTGAACTCTAGTGCTATACTGGGGGGGCAGGGGCCTCTCCTCACTGCTGGACTGGAGCTGGGCTCCTCTAGACCTGGGGGGTCCCTCTTTCTAGGGTCTCCTGCAGGGCTTATGACTGTGAATCCTTGATGTCATGATTTTATGTGACGGGCTGGACCCCAAGCCCCTTCTTCTTCCATGGAGAGAAGAGTGATCTGACTTCTCCTGGGAAGTTGTTTGGTGAAGGAAGCCCCTCCCTGGGTACTTTCTGCCAGTGCTGGAGTAGCTCCCTCTCTGGTCCTGGCTCAGGGGGGTAGGATTTTGATATATTTTCTAATAAAGGACTTTGTCGTCTTGCCTCTGCTCCTGCTTTCTGCATCCCAGGCACACTTTGTCTTTTTTTTTTTTTTTTTTTTTTTTTGGTCTTTTCGACATTTGGTTCTTTGAGACAGAGTCTAGCTTTGTTGCCCAGGCTAGAGTGAGTGCTATGGCGTTAGCCTAGCTCACGGCAACCTCAAACTCCTGGGCCCAGCCAATCTTTCTGCCTCAGCCTCCTGAGTAGCTGGAACTACAGGCATGCACCACCATGCCTGGCTAATTTTTTCTATATATATTAGTTACCCAATTAATTTCTTTCTATTTATAGTAGAGACGGGGTCTCACTCTTGCTCAGGCTGGTTTCGAATTCCTGACCTTGAGCAATCCGCCTGCCTCGGCCTCCCAGAACGCTAGGATTACAGGCGTGAGCCACCGCGCCCGGCCACACTTTGTCTCTCTTTACTCCCCTCCACTCTTATGCCCATAGGTGACAGAACAGCCAGACCAAGCCAAGCTCCAGCAATTTTTATTTTCATGATTGAGAGTTGGAGATCAGCTTTGAGGTTCTGTGCCCAGGACACTGACTGCTGCCTGGCGCCCACTCTCTATACAATCATTAACAGCAACCCCCTCATATGAGGCTCCAGCCAGAGTTAAAGGCAACCTTTGAGCAGCCAGGAACTGCCTAGCTGACTCTGGAAGGAAAAGATGAAAGGACTGTTATAGCTGGGGGTCTGATTTCCTTGACCTTCCTCCACCCAGCTGCTTTCCCAACTTACCCAGTTTTTGCCAGTGACCTAGTGTATACTGGGGGATGCAGTTCTGGGGAGAAAGGAGAGGATGCAAGGAATAGTTTATTATTGATGTCCCAGGCCTTGACATACAATGACAAATATACCAGTCCTTGCCTTCAAGGCTTTCAGTGAAGAGCTGAGGGGAGTTTACCCCAACTCACCTTGTGTAGATGGACCAAGCAGTAACTTGGTGGCTCCTTCAGTCCTAATTGTGTGGCAGCTGCTTTCTGTGCCTGGTGTTGGAACAGCTCCTGAGATAAGACACAGCCACTGGCCTCCAGTGTCTGTAACCAGGAACCTCCCATCATTACCTAGGGAGGGAATATAACACCAACCAGTCTTGGCTTTGCCTATACTGGGGCACAGAGGAGCCCTTTGGAAACCCCACTAAGTTGTTTCCTCCTCTCACAGTCACTCTGAGGTCAGAGGAGCTCCCATTCTGCTCAGGGAAAGCAACTGAGTCATACACAATTCCCAGGATGCCTGGGTCTTCTGAGGATGGCACCAAATGTCCAAATCCCTGGGGAAAAGGAAATCCACAGGTCAGGAGGGAAGAGCTCCAGCTAAGCCCATGTCTCCTCTTCCCCTCTGTATCATACCTGGACAGGCAGACGAGCTCCTCGGTACTGCAGATTCACCACAGCTACAGACACAGCAGTGATGGCACTCAGGGCACAAGCCAGAGGAGCAGCCTCAGCAGGGAGCAGCTTGCTGAGCACTGGAAGAGATCAGGCAGAGGCCTGATTCAGGAGGCATTGATGCTGCAATTTCATCAATCCTCTTTGGGATTAGACTGCTATAGGGATGACCAGTTCAGGGGCATAATGTGGTCCTGCTGGCCCGGGGAGGTATTGCTATTGCCTCACACTGGTTGAGGAAGGTGGCTACTCCATTACCTGAAGCTGGAATGGCACTAATAACGTGGTCAGCCTCCAGACTGCTGTCCCCTAGAGACACCTGAGAGGATGAAAACATGAGAGACACAGATAAAGAGAATTTTATGGATAAAGTGAGACTTGCTGCTTCAGTCTCAGTTTCCCAGGCACCCAAGTGGCAGGAGAGACTGGGTGACTATGTAGACTGCACAAAAATTACTCTTCTATATACTCTAGGAAGCAGGTCACACAGAAGTCAGTGTGGCTGCTCTGAAATATTCAGTGAAGCTGGGTGGTTCTTTCCCCTATCCCTGAGCCACTTGTAAGCGCTACTTCTATCCACAGATTTGTATCAAAGGGGTCTTTGAAGAAGATCCACAAATAAGGCCTAGGACCCTGGGGTAGCCCATGTCTAAATAGCTTCTATAACAGGAAAACAATGAGTAACTCCAGTCCTATCAGCCCTGGCATGGTTAAGCCACTTAGACAAATACAGAAACAATGACAGGTTCATTGGACTCTCCTACCTTCCAGCGCCCTTCTGCCTGGAGACTGAGCCCAGAGACTGGATGGCCTTTGAGAACAATGACCCCCCTACTAGTCAGGTGGGTTTCAAGGGCCTGGGGTAACATCTCTAGACCTCCACGGAGTGACCACTGGCTCCAGCGCTCAGCCTGGGCCTGGCGAATGAGTGCTGAGTCCAGCTGTGGGCTCTGCCCTGCAGAGGAGGAAAAGAAGAATCATCAACAAGCCATGATTTTTGAGTGTATAAAAATCTTAAAGAAAAAAAGTGAAATAAAATTTAAAAGAAAAGAAGAATCATCAAAATAGCACCCCTTAGGCCCCCAGCACTCTGGGAAACTGAGGCAGGAGGATTGCTTGAGCTCAGGAGTTCGAGACCAGCCTGAGCAAGAGCAAGACCCCATCTCTACTAAAAATAGAAAAAATTAGCTGTGTGTGGTGGTGTGGGCCTATAGTCCCAGCTACTGGGAGGCTGAGGCAGGATGATCACTTGAGCACAGGAGTTTGAGGTTGCGGTGAGCTATGATGATGCCACTGCATTCTACTCAGGGTAACAGAGCAAGACCCTGTCTCAAAAACAGAGAGAAAAAAAGCACCCCTTGCCCCAAGTCCCTCACTTTGGTAGTCCTTAAGATCTTCACCTTTGAACCAATCCCCTCCTCACCTGCTCCCAGCAGCATCCCCAGTAATATGGAACGATGGGTTTGCTCAGCTTGAAAGAGACTGGGAAAGCAGGACCTGATGCTGAGCTCACGGCTGTTGCCTGCAAACACTCCACGGCAGAGACTGTCCATGGCTAGAGACGCCACCTTAAGGGTAAAACAGGGACTGAGAGGCCAAGGAATAAGCTGCACCGATTTCTACTGCCCCTGCTTGATAGAGAATGGGGGTGGGTAGAATTTGGTTTTGGGGGCATTCCCACTTTAACAGGAAGATGAGAAGAAAGTGAAGGCATTCACCCCCAATACTGAGTTTTGGGAATTATGGAAGAGGCAATGAAGACAAGAGTATCTACAAATGATACAGAAGAGCCCCTAGGTGGAAGGTTTAAGTAGAGGGCTTTGAAGCTGGTTCAGGAGGATGTTTGGGGCCTTTGAGCAGTGTCACCTCAGGTCCAAGGCGGCGCTGGGCAAAACTGTGCACAGTCTCATCAGGCTCTTTGCCCCGGGGCTTGGTCAGATCCCTCAGCCCAGCCCAAAACAGTGGTTTGGAGAAGGGGGGTGAAGGGCGGAGGAGCCCCCTGCATGGAGGAAGGCATAGTGAGGAGGGAATTTCCGATTTACCTCTCCAGATCCAGGGGGTCATTTCCATTCATTTGGCCCCCTTTTGCTGAAAGGGCTGACAAGGGGAGGAAAATGGAAAAGATGTGAGGATGATGGCAAAGTAGAAACGTGCAGTAAGGAGGTGATGGTGTTACCTGAGACCAGTGGGTAAGGCATGCAGAACACCGCCTACATACAGGAACCTGTTCTGGGCCGCTGGATGGTCTCCCCGGACGGGCAACACTTCTGAGTCCAAGCCAAGTTCAGAAACCTACTCTCCATGAGCCCTCAGGAAGAGGAGAAACTAAGGAAAGGTCTGACCCACCAAAATATACTTCCTCCCCTAAACTCTATCCCCTAGTGAAAGCCCCCTCTCCACAACCTCTCCTAGACATTCCACAAGCCTCTCACCATGAGCAAAGTTCGGGCTCCCAAGGCTCCCGCGGGCCTAATTCCCCGAGGTCCAAGTTCAAAAATAGCACCATCGCTCCCTCGGACTGAGCGAATCCAGCCTCCCAGACGCTCGCTGCCCTCCACCAGAACCACCTGGCGACAAAAGGGAGGAGACACTGCAGCACCATCTGTAGCCTCGGGCGAGAGGTCAGGGGAAGAAGAGGTGGCGTATTTGGGAGCCACGATCCATCCCGCTTTCAATGGGAATGGGAGAAGAGTATTAAATGAGGCTCCCTCCGTCACTGGTGGGAAACTCACCTTAGGGGGGTAAGGGGCCCGGCTCAGGTGGTAACTGGCAGCCAAGCCGCTGATGCCTCCGCCCAGCACGACCACGGTCCGGCTCATTGGGAAACGTGGGGGAAAGGGGACGGTATGGACAGGCAGACCGGGGGACACCCTGCGCTCCAGAAGCCCGGCTGGTTCTGTGTTCCACGCCCGGCTGCTCACTGCTTTAGGGGAAACTTAGGCAGTGCGCGCGGATGGACTAGTGGAACAGTGAGGTCCCTGCCCAGGGGCCAGGACTCACCCACGAGAGGTAGGAAGAAATGAGAGAAAATGTGGAAGAAAAAGGTTTAGTTGCTAAGACCTCACTCCACAGGCACTTCGCTGGGTGCAGATAAGGGGCACACCCACACTATCTGCCCCCGCAGGGCTCAGGCGGCAGGCTGGCTGCGGCACTTCTGAGGCGTTTGGCCTCCCCATTCCTCAGTAGGCCAACAAGCGCTTCAAACCCGCTTCTCCTGCCCCTAACCCTTTCGGTCGCTCCGACTTTCCGTCCATTCTATTCTCGCGGCATGCGCATGTCCGTATCCTTCCTGCTTCTGGATTGGTGGGTCTTGGAAGGCCCCGGATCACGTTCACCAATGAAAACACTGAACTGGCAGGGGCAGTGACTCTGCCAGGCGGAGGGAAGGCGCGGTCAAAAGCTGTTCTGTAGGACTGCAGGTTAACCGCTTCAGTGCCAAGTAGGAGTAAGCGGTCGTAGATGGTGCTGCCCTCCCTAGGGCCGAGGCTGCGAGAGCGTAATCCTGGAGTTAGCATTCCCCAGCTCAAGCTTCCCAGGCCCGGCAAGGGTGAGAACCCTGGAGGGAGGGCCCCAGGAGCTTTGGTTGTAGGGAGAGTAAATAGTGACA